ATTAATTTCTTTCTATTTTTAGTAGAGACGGGGTCTCGCTCTTGCTCAGGCTGGTTTTGAACTCCTGAGCTCAAACAATCTGCCCGCCTCGGCCTCACAGAGTGCTAGGATTACAGGCGCGAGCCACCACACCCGGCCTTTGGTGAATTCTTGCCTAGATTTATTGCGCCTCTGATTTAGGGACTGTGCTTCCTCCTGGAGGGAGATGCTTTCAGGTTTTCAGAATTCTGATTACCCTATTACAAGTATTATTTTATGAGGAAAGAAAAATCTAATTGTTCTTTTAAATAAACGCAATAGTGTTCTCTACCAAGAAGAGTGCTACTCCTTGTTTGCTTTCCTTCACTGTCAGTTGGAGAATAAGATTCATCGTCAGTCTTTAGTTATAGTGCGGGGAAAAGTAAATTGACAATCACCTTTAGGTAACAAGGGCTACTGCAACTCCCTACATTAATTTGGACTTGGAAATTGGGAGGTGCTCCCTTTTTCATTTCATTTTTTTTTTAATTTTATTTTAAAAGACTAGTCAAGTGCAGTAGTGAGAAGGGTAGAAAGTAATAGAACAAGGAGTTCAATCTGTAACTGTGAACAATCAAGTGAGATAACTCACTACTTTCATATCAGCCTCCCTTTTTCAATAGATGGAAGGAAAGCAATAGGTTATGGATTATCCAAAAATCAATAATTGTCCCCTAATAACCTATCTTCCAGGTAACTAAAGAAAGTAAAAGATAGGTATTCTATCATTGTGGTTTTAGAATTCAGAGCTATTTAAGGATCTGTGTTATTTACATTAATAACTATATATTACCCACCTAATCCTGCCAAAAGGGTCAGGATAGCCTCTGCCTGATCTCTAGCTACTGCAAGCCTCTCCTCCCTTTATCATTAGTATAGCCTCAAAGAATAAGTCATAGAATAAGAATGGTATAATTATGTTAGGTAAAGAAAGCCCCCAAAATGGGGAAATCTAAAGTAAAGCATTCTTGACTTTCAACTTTACTCACTTTTTAACTATTGTCTTACTAGCAACTCAAATGAAGTGAAGAATGTAGACAACAAGTTCCTGCTTCTCCTTGGGCTTTCACTGGCTCATCCCAGAGCCTCTATCTACCTCCAGACTGGATTCTTTACACTTGAAATTCTCTGCCAGGCCTCCCAGTGTGAGGTTTTTTTCTAGTGTACAGCTAGTTCTCTAGGGTCTGGAAAAAGTTGTTTGTCAAAATCAGTAGAGAAGTAGATTAAATGTGCAACCCACTCTTCCTATAGAATCTAGCACCTTCAGACGAGCCCTGGGACCCCTTAAACATTATTTATGGGCCAGTAATTCTCACAGTTTCCAACTGGATTATTTCAGGAGAAACTCCCTCTCCCTGAATATGGCACTCTCCAAACACCAGCAGGTACACCTGGAAGGGGAGCTATTGGAATTATTTGGCAGGGAAATTTTGAGGTAATCCAAATCAATGTAGTAGCACAATGGAAAAAAATGCCTTTAGCCAACACTACTTGGCAGTCCCCCTAAGCACCTTGGCGACTGAATCATTTTAGGCATCAAAAGTGCCATAATTATTGAGCAAAGGGTCAAAACATGATAAAACATCACAAAATGTACACTAGGGCCAACAGTCCTAGATTAACTCAGAAATCTTAATCCTGAACAATCCCTAATCTTGACAAAATACTCCAAGCTGTTTTACTACTACCACCTTTGATAGTAGGCAATTTAGATGTTCTTAAGGTTTATCACAATGTTACAGACAACAAAACTCCCGAGTTAATTATGTTGCCATATTTTTACCTATTTACTGAGTCTGCAACATTTTAAGATTGCTACAAAATACTTTACATTTGTATTGCGCTTTACTAAGTGTTACTACGTTACTAAGTGCTACTAAGTTTACTAAGTGCTATTATGTTATCTCATTTGATCCTTAAAACCATGCTGTGAGATAACCCATTCAGATAATATCTCCATCTCACAAATAGAACAGATTTAGGTGAAACAAATTACCTAAAGTCACACAATTAACAAAGAGCATAGCACTTCAGTAAGGACATCTAGCAACGCTTAGGTAACTACCCTGCTGCACACACAGAACTAGGACCTAGCCACAAACCTGCAGGGAAACCTCCCTCCAGCCTGTACAAGGAAAGGACACAAAGGTCTCTTGAGATGGCCCCTCCCTAGTGAAAAAGATTGATAATGATTTTTTTCAGAAAAGACCTTGGAAGTTATGTTAAAAAACCAATGACGCCGGGCGTGGTGGCTCACGCCTGTAATCCTAGCACTCTGGAAGGCTGAGGTGGGCGGATTGTTTGAGCTCAGGAGTTCGAAACCAGCCTGAGCAAGAGCGAGACTAAAATAGAAAGAAATTAATCGGACAACTAAAAATATATAGAAAAAATTAGCCGGGCATGGTGGCGTGTGCCTGTAGTCCCAGCTACTCGGGAGGCTGAGGCAGGAGGATCTCGAGCCCAGGAGTTTTGAGGTTGCTGTGAGCTAGGCTGACGCCATGGCACTCTAGCCCAGGCAACACAGTGAGACTCTGCCTCAAAAAAAAAAAAAACCAATGACTTTTAATTGGTTTCTGGAATATGAAGGTATACATTATTAATTAAATAAGCAGGCAGCAACAAAGCTTTGGGTTTTTTT